TCAAAGTCACTTCCATGTTAAATCCAACTATTGATTCTTAGTCCCAATCGTACTTGACCTGTTAGCAGCATTTGGCAAAGGAGATAACCTCTTTTTCAATGCTTATCTATATCAGGGATAAGCAACCTTTTTTTTWATGTAAAGAACAACCAAACAGAAACTTTAGGCTTTGTTAACTGTGTAGTGTCTGCTGCAGTTACTAACTCTGCTGTTGCAGACTGAAAGCAGTAGACTATGGAAATGAAGGAGCATGTGTTCAATAAAATTTYATTTACAAAAAAAGGTAATAAGTCAGATTTATCCCTTACGCTCCAAAGTTCGTTGATCTTTTCCTCTGTRTTTTCCTTGTTTCACCTTACTGGAAACTTCTGTCTCTTCTGTTGTTGCTCCCTAACTCCTTAACCTGTTAACACAAAGTGTCCCAAGATCCATCCCTCTGCTTTCTTCTCCATAAGCAGTTTCTTGGTGATGCTTTCCAATGTTACGATTTTAAATACTTGGTTTATGTTCATGACTCCAAATTTCTATCTCCAGATCACTTATTGAACTCTAAATATTTTATCTAATGTCCTTTTAGCATTTGCACTTGGAAGTCTAATAGCCATCTTAATGCATATCCAAAACTAAACTCTTTTTGTTTAGACACAATATCTTTTTTTATTCTTTTTAGAGAGAGACAGGAAGAGAGAGAGAGAGAGAGAGAGAGAGAGAGAGAGAATTTTTAATAGTTATTTTTCAGTTTTCAGTGGACACAACATCTTTATTTTACGTGGTGCTGAGGATCGAACCCAGCGCCCCCCACATGCCAGGCGAATGCATTACCGCTTGAGCCACATCCCCAGCCCCAATATCTATTTATTTATGTGATGCCAAAGATCGAACCCAGTGCCTCATGCATATGAGACAAGTGCTCCAYCACTGAGCTACAACCCCAGCCCCAAAACTAAACTATTGATCTTTCTTGACAAATCTACTCATCTTCAACATTATATTATTAAGGGCTTGCTGGAGAAACAGAATAGGACATACATCTATATTTACCTATCTACATCTATAGATATGAGGAGATTCCATATAGGAATTGGCTTGTGTAGTTACAAAAGCCAAGAAGTCCTACAATCTGTCATCTGCAAACTGGAGAACAGAAGAAATGGTTGTGTAAGTCTTGAGTTCAAGAGCCTTAGAATAAGGTCTGATGGTATAAGTTCTGGCCTAAGTCTGAAAGCCTGGCAACTGGGAGCAGCAATGTCAGATGACAGATGTCTTAGCTCAAGCAGAGAACAAATCCAATCTTCTGACACCCTTTTGTCTATTCCAGTCTTCCACAGAATTGGATGATGTCAGTCCACATTGGTGAGAACAATATATATATATATATATACACACACACACATATTTATTTCTCACTAGTAACCAGTAAATACAAATTAATATACCATTTCATATCTACCAGCTTGATAAAAACAAGAAAAGTTATAACAATTACAGTGACATACAGTGAGAATGTAGAGAAATGGGACTTCTCATTGTTGAGTAAACTGGCACAATGACTTTAAAGAACAATTTAAAAATTTCTTGAAAAGTTGAATACGCACATATCCTATGACACAACAGTTCCTTTTCCTAGTATATATCCAGACAAACTTTTGCAATGGGTGTAAGAATTTGTGTGCTTTTTTTTTTCAAATTGGTTTGCAATATGAAAAAACTGGAAACATTATTATCCATTGGATTAGTTTATTCTTATCATGAATAAAATCTAAAAGTGAAAGAGCTGTTCATGCAACAATAAAGACA